TGGGCTGCTTGTTCAATATTTAAACTATTTTTTTAGATTTAATTTTTTTATAAGATTAAATTATTTTTTTTTTAATATTGTTTTTTTTCGAATTTAACTTATTTTTTTCTTACAGATTTTCAAGATCTGCTATGTCAATACTGCCATAGTTCTTCTATACAGCAACTGTTTCGAGGAAGCCCAGAAGATCAAGATTCCAAAGCTATTTTTAGAAAAGGAATTTTTGGTAGAATTCTTATCAAATTACGACAACATCTAACAAGAGACACCTGGAAAGTGGATCTTTCAAGTCGTCACATCTTTAAATGGTGTCTTTTCCATGTTAAGGTAATTTTCAACTTTTTTCATATCACCACCAGAGGGGGCTTTTTTCTACAACTGTTTTTTTATCACTTAGCTCTTGTCAGTCAGTTTCAAATTATGTCCATTTTGACCAAAATTAACAAAAATTGTAGAAAAATGCAAAAAGTTGCAAAATTTTGTGCCACAAATTTTAAGGGGATGACCCCCAAAGGGTCACACATCCTGGTATGTCTGGGGGTATAGATTCACTATCAAAGTGAGTTTCTCAACTATTTCTTTCTATAATGCAAGTAGCTGTCATTGTTTGAAAGTTCAAAAACAGTTGAAAATATTGGACAACAATACCCCAGGAAATGCCAGGATGGGGTCATGCATAAGAGATATTGGGTTTGACCATCTTGGCAATCATCCAAAATTTCAACCACATTGAAGTGTTTTAGAATACAAAATTTTTGAATTATCAGTGTAGAAATCCATAATTACAAACATGCTTTGTCATTTCCATGGAAACACCATTACTTGTGATGTTTCTTGGCCTAACTCACTGACAATTCTTCTTCCCATTGAGCATCCCTATGTTAGTGACTTTCAGATCGAATATTTCCACCATCACTGCTGTTCCTTGATGACTTTCTATCTCGCTGAAAATTCTTGTTGTCCTTTTAGCATCCCTATCTTAGTGGCTATTTGGATGGAATATTTCCACCATCATTGCTGTTCCTGGA